GGGAGTTGAAGTCCACAGCAAAGCTGGCTGAGGAAAGCTGACTGAGGAACTCTGGGAGTTGAAGTCCACAGCAAAGCTGGCTGAGGAAAGCTGACTGAGGAACTCTGGGAGTTGAAGTCCACAGCAAAGCTGGCTGAGGAACTCTGGGAGTTGAAGTCCACAAGTCTTAAAGTTCCCAAGGTTGGAGACCACTGGCCTAGAGTACTTGACTGCCTGCTGATGTCATGAATATCAGAGGTTTGTGGCTACAAAAGCATAAACCTTGAGAACTTGGGCTGTTTAGTATGAGCAGATTTTTAAAGGTAGTCCTGAGCTTAAATTCATTCATGAAGGGATTGTTTGGAGTTAACAATAGTGCTGAAAAAAGTGACTTGCAAACCAGCCCTTGCATTTACCATAACATCCCTGTGGTCACGTGATTGTGATTCAGGGACTTGGTAATCAACATGCATTTGCGATGATTACAGCATCTCGGCATCTCGTGGTCACCCTTTGCAGCCAATTTTCGACAAGCGAAGTCAATGGAAGAAGCCAGATTGGCTTAACAAGCATTGTAAATACATCATAAAATTGAACACAATTCAGTTAACAACCACAATGCTTAATAATGGAAGTTCCAGACTCAGTTATGTTCTTAAATAGAAGATTACCTGTACAAATAGTGATGCTCTTGCGCTGTACATTTAGGAAATGGTGCCTATTAAAACTGGCTGACATTTTCCTTCTTTCTGTAAGCTGGAAATTTCAAATTCTTGGTTAGGACAACCACTGTGCATATACATATATACAACACTGTTCTGATCCCCCTTCTTTGCTCGTTCACAGACGAGTCAGACAGACTTAAAAGGAAATAACTTTTATCAGTCCTGGCTCATGCTGGCTGCGAGCCCAAAAATAAACATAAATAAAGTCTCTGGCAAAAAGGTTACGCAGCAGAATGCAAAAACAAAGAGCTCTTACAGCAACACCAGGTTTACAGAAAGAAAGCAAATCACTTATCCAAGTGCCTCTCTCACAAACAAACCACGACCGATGAACCACGAACCACTAACGAACGAATGAACGTTGACTTCTGCAACCAGGGCGTGGCACCAATAAAGCACTGCATTGTTATTCCTGCATCCCGACTCAACCCACAGCAAACTTCTGCTGAGTCACAACACAACATATACTATCAGAAACATGGATCCTGCATCTCAGTTTTGCTACAGTGTTTTATGTCTGTCTTGCTAAGCTCACAGACTTATTCAGAGTATATATGTGTAAAAAGCCTTTCCTGCAGAGATTAACCTTTCAAAAATGTATTTTGAAGTGAAAATATGTTCCATCATTTGCTTGAGGTACCATATGGAAAATTTCACATGTTTGTAACTAAATTTTACTTTCTGAAATATTTAATGTAAATTAAGGGATAATGTACCTGTGAATACCTATTTTGGGAGCAGATACAGAGAGGTACCGGCTGATCACTTCCGGAAATACAATGAAGCCAGTAGTTAGACCTTTTTGGATTTAGAAAGATTCAGAAAGTCATGATTGCAGAAGTGTTGATCTCCTGGATGTGATCTTTCCATTGTATGTTCCTACTTTCCTATATATTATGGTTGGGTTGGGAACCAGGAAAAAAAGAGCTGGGAAATTGGATATATACCTTGGTCTGTCATTTGCCCCCTTGTAATCAAGACAAATTAATTGTGGTTATTAAGAGGATGCATGTCTTATCAAATTTCCAGGAAGATACTATGGAGGTAGAAGAGTTCTTGAAAGAAGCTTCTGTCATGAAGGAAATCAAGCATCCAAATCTAGTACAGTTATTAGGTGAGTGTAGAAATCTGATCATACTGCTCTTTTTGTTTTAAATATATATTTGTTGCATTCCAACTGTACACATCAAACAGTTGAGGCATAGTATTTAAGTTTTACTTACTCTGAACCAGTTTGAGCAAAACTCTAAATATGGAAAGCTTTCCTCGGATGAAATTGTGTTTGCTCATTAGGCATGAGAGTTTTCTCTCCAGCTTTCCACACACTTGATTGCTATACTATTAGAAAAGACTACATCTGCTTAAACTAAACTACCTCCCACTGCAATCTTTGCAGTTTTTGTCTCCTATATTTTATGTGAATGAATGTGTCTGTGTGTGTTGGTTTTCCCCAAATCTGTGAACCTGTGCAAATGGGTTTAAAGCAGTTGTAGAGGTGGAATTGACAATCAAGGGCCCCTTGTTATTTTTCACCCTTGAAATTCATCTCTTAGTCTGCAAATGCCTAAAAGGAATGGGTTTTTTAAAAATTGATTCAGAACCATGGTTAAAGCAAACAAAACCTCTAAGCTACAAGCAATTGTAATCCTCATTCCCAGCCCAAAATTTACTGTCTCTGTTTTGTTCTCAATAAATAATCTTTTATTGCAATATATATTCCCATTTTTCTTCATAGCCATAAGAACTAGAAATATTACTATGGCATCCAGATTATAGAATCATCTTGCTAATGGGGAAACAACAATTGGCATTGCTTCATGTGTATCAGAGCTGGGCCACCTGTTATTCACACTAGAGGCATGTGGATGTCTTTTTGCTAACAAATTTGTCATTAAAATAAAGCAATAGGGTTTGTTGCTTAATTCTGATGGCAAACAGATTTTTCTATATATCTGTCTTGCTGTTTTGTTTTGTTTCGTTTCTAATACCTAAGTAGAAAGTTACGGATGAGAGATTCCTGTCACCAGAAATAGAAAATGAACTATTGAAGTAGTTTTTTTTTTAATTAAACAGAGGACCATATGTAATTACAAGTAGTTTTTATTTAACATTCATTTGTTCAGCAACTGTTCAAAGTTACAATGGCATTAAAAATGGGCTTATGTCTGGTCCTCAAAGTTATGACCAATTCCCCACAGTTATATGATGAAGATTTGGACCAACTTTGTTCAAGACTCCTCCCCCCCCTCCCGGCCACCACATCTTGCTGACCTTTGGCATAATTGTCCTGATCTTGCTAGGCCATTATGCTGTGACTTTTCATTGCATTGCAGCAATCTCACATTGCAATGCTGGGGCTTTTAGGATACTGTTAATAATCTCTCTCTCCCTCCCCTCTCTTTCTCTCCCTCCTCCCTCTCCCCTCTCCTTCTCTCCCCACTCCTCTGTCCCTCCATCTCCCCCCCCCCGCTCTGTCCTTAGTTGCTTTTTGATCTTGTCGAAATTTTATCGTGCCAAAATTATCTGTGCAGAAATCTTTGTAGTATTGCTAGAGATTTTTTTAAAAAAAAAAACATTAAAAATGGATTTTTTTTTAAATGTGAGAAATCTTTCCCCCTTTTATTTTAACGTAGAATGCAGTACTGCCAGTTTGACAATTAATGATTAGATTTTATTGCACAATTGTAGGTACGTAAGGATTTACCAACTCTCCTATGTTTCTTCAGGTGTGTGCACCCTAGAACCCCCCTTTTATATTGTAACTGAATATATGCCCTATGGGAACCTGCTGGACTATCTACGAGAATGCAATCGGGAAGAAGTGACTGCTGTTGTCTTGCTGTATATGGCCACCCAGATATCTTCTGCCATGGAATACCTGGAGAAGAAGAATTTCATTCACAGGTCAGCAGAAAACCTTGACATTCAATAAAGCAGGAATGTAAGAATGTAGCTGTGAATTGCAGTGCATTATCTTGAGGGTGAAGCTATAATAGGATTTGAAGAAGAATTTATGTCAGAGAGGACATAAATAGAGACAAGATCCTGAAGGGAACACATTCAACACTTACGAAGATGGAATAAGTACATCAATAGTGCCTTGCTGGATCAGATCCGTGGCTCACCTAATCTAGCAATCTGTTCTCACAGTGATCAGTTGGCTGCACAATGAAGCCTACTAGTTTCCCCACAGATCTCCTTCAAAGGCAGTCACACTTCTGTCAAGCCTAATAACCATTGATCCCATGATTTCCATGAATTGGTCCAATTCTTTTTTGAAGCGAGTCAAGCTGGTAGCCAGCACCATCTCTTGATAGCAAATTCAAATACTAAATTGTGCGTTGCATAAAAAGGAAATCCTCCTGTGTGTGCTAATTCATTTAAAGTTCATTTTCATTGGCTTATTTTTATTCATACTTTCTGTGGGGATTTCTTCTCTCCTTGTTGTTGGCCTTTAACTCATTTTTAACTCTTTCTGACCTGATGAATATTATTTTGCTAGGAATGTCTGTCAATAAATACTTATTTGAGTTATTCTTGTGAGCTTGTGCTTCTTCCATTACAGAACCATATTGCCAGTAAACACTCAATTACTTGGGTGCATAGAAAACATCTTGACAAGAACTGCAGGAATTGCCAAGAGTGGTTTAGAGTGCTTCAATAAAAAGCTACATGAATTAAAAACTGGCTGGAGATGCCAGCGTCTCCTTTCCATCGCTATAGTTTATAAAAGGTTCATTGAATATGTAGAAGCTGTCAGCATTTGCAGCAGGAGAGAATAGATCCTATGCGCAACATTTTTCTAAAGATGCTGGGGAAATGAAGCATCTTGTTCATGAGCAGCAACAATAGATGTAGTATTTCCGATTTTTAGAGCAAAAGCATTAGCTTATTCTGCCATCCCTGCAATCTCTAGATCGGCATTGTGTGTTCCCACTAATATCAAGCATTCCTAGTACAGTCTAGAAGATAAAACTGCTTAGAGGTAAAATCATCCAAATTGTTCTGTCCTGGTTTTAGATAGTGTGTGGTTCTCCGATCTGGTTGAAATTGTGTATGGAACCTGCTGACATGCCTAAGTGCATTATCAAACAAGCTCCAACTTTCGCTTGGAAATTCAAATTTCCTGCCTGCATAGCCAATTAGGATTAGTTTATTTGTTTTTGTGCCTTTGAATCAATACTGACTTGTAGTTTTCTTGGCAATCTTTCAGAAGTAGCTTCCCATTGCTTCCCTCCTAAGACAGAGAGAGAGGGTTTGGTCCAAGGTTACCCAACTGATTTCATGCCTAAAGCAAGATTAGAACTCATGATATCCCGGTTTCTAGTCCAATGCTTATCTATTACATTCTTATATTTAGTCTCAAAATTTTCATATATTTTTAATGGGATTTCAAACAATTCGTAAGGATCTTTATAATTACCGTAGTTTCTCACTCTGTGTGTTTGTAACTTTCTAAAAATCAACATTCTACTCATTCTTTTGCTGTTTATTTCAAAATAAAAACATTTCTTCAAATTCTTAAGCTTACATAAAATTTCTTTTGCTAAGAATTGAAGAAAAATCACACCATAAGATATCATTCTAAAATTTTGTTAGTTTCTCAAAAGCAGTTAACAAGGCATTTCCTGAAACGATTAAGAGGAAATATGTGAACTCAATGTCTGTTTGAAGGCTCTGAACTATGGCTTGGGCAAAGCTGAGTTTCTTTTGGCTTCCAGGACTCTGAAACCCACAAAAAAGACTCCTGTTTTATGGTCTCACAAGGAGTCTCTGTAAGGACAACTTGTGGGTGATCTTCTCTCTTTGATCTAGAGAAGAGTTTGGGGAACTGAACTTTTCCGCTGCAACCATCGACTATGTCCTCTGCTAATATATCTGCTATTACTATTACTTCCCTAGAATTCCTAAATGAATGTTGTATTTTTCTAAAAATATAGTATTTATTGTAGATTCTCACAGTTCCAAAATTGTGGATTCTCAGAAGTCATTATTTAACAATTTCCAGTTTATCTCCATGAATCCAGTCTTAAAATGTTTGTATGCCTCCTCTAACATCCTAGTTTGGACCAGTCATACACTTCCAGGATATTTGTGGGGAATATAGAAAGAGAAAGATATGTTGGATATGTTTGTCGCCTTGAGTTATTTCTAAAAATAATAAAGATGGAATACAAATAAATGAATAAAATAGGGGTGCTACCGTATTTTTCAGAGTATAAGACGCACCAAGGTTTTGAAGAGAGAATTTTTTTTAAAAAGTAGGTAGGTAGATAGAGGGATAGAGAGGGAGAGAAAGAGAGAGAAATACAGTAGATAGGTAGAGAGAGGTAGGTAGGTAGATAAAGGGAGAGAGAGAGAAATACAGTAGGTAGGTAGGGAGAGAGAGAGGGTGGGTAGGTGGGTAGGTAGATGTTTCCAGGTGTATTTATCCATGTGCTGGAGAAGGAAATCGCTGACATTCTGCAGCACCTAAGATTTTGTTTCTGCTGGCACAGCACTTGATCAATNCACCGTCTTGATGCAATTCCTCACGTTGAAGGTGGCCTTCCTGGTGGCCATCATCTCCGCCAGGAGGATTTTGGAATTGCAGGCCCTGTCAGAGAGGACCTGTGTACCTTCCACGAGGACAGGGTGGTGCTGTGGCTTGACCCATCATTTACGCCCAAGGTCAGCTCGTGGTTTTACAGGGCACAGGAGGTGGTCCTGCTGAATTTTTGCCTGACCCCTGCTCGGCCGTTAGAATAGCGATGGCACAAACTTGATGTAAGGCGGGCCCTGAAGATTTACATACAGAGGACGTGGAGTTCCGGCATTCTGAGTCTCTCTCTTTGTTTCCTTTCAGTTCATGTCATTGGGGCATAAGGTTTCGATACCCACCATAGGTAGATTGGTCAGGAAGTGCATAGCTACGACATACCTGTCTTCCCAGGAACTGGTGCCCCAGGGAGTCACCACGCACTCTACAAGAAGTGCTGCAACAACGGCCGCTTGGGCGACCCTAGCCTCCCTAGAGATCTGCAGGGCGGCCACATGGGCTTCGCCATTCATTCACAATTATAAATTGGATAAATTTGCATCCTCGGATGCGGCATTTGGGCGTTGAGTTTTACAATCTGTGCATGTGGACAGGTGACTCAGACCAGTCTTGATCCCCCTCATATGGGCAATCCGGCTTGGGTATGTCCCATACATGGATGCTATCCCCACCTTATTGAGAAAGAGTGTTGGTACTTACCTGATACGCCTCATCTAATAAGTTGGGGATAGCACCCTAGTAAGTGGCCTTCTAGATGTTGGCACTTGTATTGGGGTTTTGTTCACGCCTTCTAGATGTTGGCACTTGTATTGGGGTTTCTGGGGCCCTAGGACATCGTAGTTTGTAGTTATTGTGCCTTTGGTTCATTAAAAGTTTTCCCAGTTTTGGATAACACGTTGAGTCTGTGTGTTTGTCTTTTTCTTCGCCAAAGGTTTAGTGGAGCTACCCACAGGGACGGGTTATAAATGGTATTAATTAATTATTAATCAGACTCAGTCCAATCAGAGAACGGACAGTGTTAACCCCTACATGAATGCTATCCCCACCTTTTTAGAAAAGGTGTATCAGGTAAGTACCAATACTCTTTCTGATTCTGCTTGCTGTCTCAGTTACATTCTGGATCATCGTTAAGAAGTCAGATTTTTTTACATTTTAGTTGGTAGACCTCAGTCCTTCATTAAGCAGCTATCTGATCTCCCCATAAAGCCACTAGAAGAGATCATCACTGGCAGGTGATAAGATATAATCAGTACAAGTAGACCTGGACTTAACAACCATTCAAAGTTATGACACACTTGTAGGAGTTGTGACCTAGATTTGAAGTTCCAATAGTTGGGGGCTCTCCGCATTTACATGACCGAATTTCAGATGCTCAGCAACGTGGCTTCATTTACAACTGTTTGCAGCTTCCCACAGTCATATGACCATGTTTTATTATAGTTTTGCTGAAAACAAGCACTTCTGATTTATGGCAAAACTGTGCCCATAGCAGACCACTGATGTGCTTAATGTCTGCTGGAAAAAAAGGTCATAAAATCAGGTCGTAATGTGACCAACCCATTTTACATCTATCATAACATATGAACATAATGGGCTAACTCCATTACAGACTGAATGAGGCAATTAGTAACCATGATGTACCTGTACACACTACTTGTTAAATACTATATTGACTCTTGATCTAGTACAATTAAATATCTCTGCGTATGTCTCTTAAGAGTGCACAGCTGCATAATTTAAAGTGGATTGTGGTTAGATGTTAATGGCATTTTCTCAGTCATTCAGTTTGCTTTTATTGTTGGTTTCATTAGTTAGTTGATGGAGCTTCACTCGCTGGCCAAGTAAGTGGTTGATGCTGCTGATTATGTGCAGATCAGGAGAATAACTCCACGATCCTCTTTTCCATTCCGTTGTTCCATGTGCTTAATAACATTCCTGTTGACTAATCTCTGCATGTNAAATAAAGGCGCGAACCACCATTTTGAATAGCGACCATTAGTCAGAGGAGCATAGATGCCATTTTGAGACGCAGCAGCGATTGGGGGCTATTATAATGGCAGACAGCAGCATGCCTGGGCCCTTCCCTGGCACAATCAGGGTCAGCCAGGAGGTGGACTCGGTGGTGCCTGCAGAACCACAACCTCCCCTTTCTCCTGCGGGGCCATCTGACTCTCAGGACGGAGAGGGAATCAGGGCACCTAATAAGGCCTCCAAGCACAGTAAGCCATCAAAATCTAAGAAGAGCTTGAAGGCGACTGCTAAGGTTAAACACATCAATAATGAACAGCAGCGCCTCTCCTCTCCTTCCCTGCAGGATAGGGCCCAGCCAGCAGGCCCCAGACCAGACCACAGATCCGCACCCAGCCTGACCTCGAACTTGGGCCCGTTCAGCCTGATGTTACACATCGACACTGCCAACCATTGGGGACAAGCACTGAAGGCTCGCAACCTGAGCCCCTAGACCGTAGCACAGGGGCAGAGGCCTTCTTCACCCCGCCTGCTCCAGGCTCCCAGCAGGACTGTTGCTTGCCATCTATGCCCTGCAGCTTGTCCATGCCTTCAGCGGGCATCAATTTCCAGGACGTTATTTCAGAGGCCATCAAACAGAGCATTGTGGTGGGCTGCAGGAGCTTAACCAGTCATCTTTGGGGATTCCACGACATCCTCCACCAACAGACGGATCCTCCCCCATCTAGATCTCCACGCAGGCGGAGTTGTCTGAGGAGGAAGGTTCCACTGTTGACAAGCCTCCAGCTATGGGGCTATTTCCACCGGGCCCTCTTCAAAACACTGCTTGCCAAGGCCGCATCAGACCTGAGGACTCAAGGGGACACCCCCTTGGTGCAACTGCCCACCACGTCGGCCAACGCGTGGGTCACAGAGCACAAGTGGGAGGCCGACATTATATCCGCTCCACAACTGTTTCTGGACATGGTCCAGAGACAATGGTCTGCGCCCACAGCCAGTCCAGCTTCCTCCACAGCAGACAGACAATACTACAATGTGGCTGAAGGGCTGGATAAGCTACTCCAATGAACGTCAGTGGATGCTCCAATAATAGCCCTGCACTCTAGCACAACATTGCCTGGTACCCAAGGGGAGGTCCTCAAGCCTGAGGACAAGAGGGCCGACCAGACATTCCAACACAGGCAGCGGCATGGACGGTTAGTGCCTCAACGGCTGCCTCCTTTTTTTCTAGATCCAGCCTCCTGGCTACAACAACTCCAGGAGAAGATCCTGGCCAGTGACACCAGGATGCATCAGGATCTGAACAAAATTGTGGCTGCAGTCCAGTTCTCCTCAGATGCAACCTTGAGTGCCACGAGGTTTGCCTCTCGGACTATGACATCCTCAGTCGCCTCTCATAGGCTCCTCTGGCTGAGGCAATGGCAGACTGATGTGAGGCACAAATGGCGTCTGACTGTGGAGCCTGGAGGAGACTGACCTGAGCATTAACTTCTTGGAGCTCAGGGCCACACAGCTGGCTCTCCAATGCTTCACTCCGTATGTCAGGGGCCAACACGTTCTGATCCTGACAGATAACAGCTATCAAAACCTGGCTATTGCGGCAGGCCTGGGGCTGTTGACCTCTTGACCGATGTCCAGCCCCGCTTAGACTGGGTGCATGGTGTGTTTCTTTTAATCTGCTCTTTCTGTCTGTTTTTTTTAACCTTTTTTAAAAATTTTATTTCTGTAAGCCGCCCGGAGTCCTTCGGGATTGGGCGGCCTATAAATTTAATAAATAGAATAGAATAATAACATGACGGCTAAGGCGCATGTGAACAGACGAGGTCGCGACAGCTCATGCGGGAGGCCAGTGAATTGGGAGGTTGGGCAGAGGCTCACATCCGGTCCGTCTCGGCTGAGTACATCTCAGAGTAGAGATGTTCAAGCCGATTGGTTCAGCAGAGCCACCGTTGACCAAGCGGAATGGCAATTTCACCCTTGTATTTTCCAGGAGGTCATGCAGTGATTTGGGATCCCGGTTATTGACCTGTTCACCTCCCCGTCCAATTCGCAGCCGCCCAGGTTCTGCACACCGGGGGCAGAGGGAGTGGATACCCTTCCCCATCCCTGGCCCCGGGGACTCCTCTATGCCTTTCCTCCAACTCCGTGGCTGGCCAGGGTTGTACATAAGATCATCTACAGCAGGGCAGAAGTCATCCTCATTGCCCCTCACTGGCTGTGCCGCCCATGGTTTACGGACCTCAGGGCATTGTTCATGGAAAGGCCCTGGAGGATTCCACCGGACAGGATATTCCTCTGCCATGGGTTGCTGGAGCACCCAGACCCACAATGGTCCAGCTGACCGCCTGGCGATTGAGCGGGGCGCTCTGATGCAGGAGTCTTTCTCCACCAGAGTCGTGGACACCATTCAATCTTCCAGAAGGTCTTCCACGGTCTGTATTCATATCGCGACTTGGCGGATTTTCTGTATGTGGTGCTCCACCAAATATATCAACCCAACCATGGCCTCCGTACCTCAAGTCTTGGATTTCCTTCAAGACGGCTTAGATAAGGGTTTATCCCTGAATACAATCAGACGTCATGTAGCCACTCTTGGCACCATTTTGACCTGGGGAGGGATCAACCCCTGTCTCAACATCTCACAGTGAGACAGTTTTTGAAAGGGGCATCCAACCTTAGACCGCCTACAGTCCACAGATACCCCACATGGGATTTGTCAAAGGTACTTTTGGCCCTTACCAAACCTCCCTTTGAACCCATTCACACCGTCTTGATGCAATTCCTCACGTTGAAGGTGGCCTTCCTGGTGGCCATCATCTCCGCCAGGAGGATTTTGGAATTGCANAATCTATATATCTATCTCTATATCTATCTATCTATCTATCTATCTATCTATCTATCTATCTATCTATCTATCTATCTATCTATCTATCTATCTATCTATCTATCTATATATATATATATATATATATATATATATATATGGATAATTCTGCAGACCAAATCCCATTCTTTATTTTTTTATAAAAGTTAAATATCAGTATTTCTCTGGTGAACAGCAAGGCTGTTTCCTCTCCTTTCAGTGTGAAGGAGGCACAAAGTTACTGCATCACCCCTGAACAGCAGACATTTCTGTTCTTTTGTCTAGGTTTTATCAGAAGCACACAGCAAACCAGCGGATCCCCAGCACTACCTCGTAAACAGAGAGACAAGTCACCGAGTGGCCTGTTGGAAGACACTAGAGAAACTACCTTTACCAGAGACAGAAAAGGTGGTTTCTTTAGCTCCTTTATGAAAAAGAAAAACGCTCCCACACCTCCCAAACGTAGCAGTTCCTTCCGTGAAATGGAAAATCAGGCTCATAAGAAGTACGAATTAACGGGTAATTTTTCCGGAGTTGGTCCATTGCAGCATATTGATGGATTTTCATTTACTCCCTCCCAGCAGGATGGAAATCTTTGCTTATCCAAGTGTTATATTGGGAGCTTTGCACAACGGAACTTCTATGGGGAAGATGGTGGTGGTGGCGGCGGCAGCGGTAGCAGTGGGGGCACAAGCATTGGTAGTGGTTGGTCGGGCCTCACGGGCTTCTTTACACCTCGCCTGATTAAAAAGACATTTGGCTTACGAGCTGGGAGGCCCACTGGAGGCGATGAAGCCTCGAAACCTTTCCCCCGATCAAACTCCACATCTTCCATGTCTGCAGGTCTTCCTGAGCAGGAGAGAATGGCAATGACTCTTCCCCGAAATTGCCACCGGTCCAAAGTCCAGCTGGAAAGGACGGTATCCACTTCCTCCGAGCCCGAGGAGAACACAGACAAGCCCAATGATCTTCTCCCTAAAAGGAGCGAAGAGATTCATACGCTGACCAGAAGCCGACCAAAAACTAAACTGCTGCCGAGGGGCGCGACAGCTGTTCCTTTCAGGACTCCTTCTGTGGACACATCTGTTTCGGAGAAGGACGGCCAAGGGCCCACGGCGACAGCGAGCCTGAAAAGCAAAGAGAAAAACAGTGGGATGCGACAAGGTTCCGTAGAAGGGGAAGACAAACCAGGCTGGCCTTCTCCAGCCAAGGCTGCAGCAATACTCCCAACCACTCATAATCACAAAGTGCCCGTTCTCATCTCACCTACTCTAAAGCATACACCAGCTGAGGTGCAGCTCATCGGCACAGACTCTCAGGGGAATCGCTTCAAGCTCTTGTCTGAGCATCAGGGCGCTGCTTCTAGCGACAGGGATAGACCCAGGCGGATCAAACCAAAGTGTGCTCCACCCCCTCCTCCGCCACCGCCACCGCAAGCAGTCCTGAGGCTCCTTCACCAGCCTCCGGGTACCTCAGATACAGTGGAAGAGTTGGATAACGGAGCATTGGTACAGCCTGGGCAAGAGAGCGAGGGCAGCAAAAAGGTAACAGCGGCACCTACCGGTGGAAAAGCTGGAAGGCCAATCATGCCTCCTCCTCAAGTGCCTTCACCGTTGTCTTCGTCACCTGCTAAAATGGCCAACGGCACGGCGGGGGCTAAAGTTGCTCTGAGAAAGACCAAACAGACCGCGGAGAGAATCTCGGCAGACAAGATCAGCAAAGAGGCGCTTCTGGAATGCGCAGACCTCCTCTCCAGTGCCATCGCAGAGCCTACCACCAATAGCCAGCTGGTGGATACTGGGCACCAACTATTAGATTACTGTTCAGGTTATGTGGATTGCATCCCTCAAACGCGCAACAAATTTGCTTTCCGGGAAGCCGTGAGCAAACTGGAACTCAGCCTGCAGGAACTGCAGGTGTCCTCGATGGCTGCTAATCTGCCCGGAACAAATCCTGTACTTAATAACTTATTGTCTTGTGTTCAAGAAATCAGTGATGTTGTTCAGAGGTAGCTTCTGTCAAACCATCTGCTTTAGGAGGAAGGAAAAAAAAAAGAGTTCACAAAATTGAGAGGAGAGTCAAGAGTGACTTCTTCTCCTAATCATTTTTTCCCCCTATGTTAATGTTTTGAAAGGAGAAGACTGATGCTTGAGTAAGTTTTATGTGAAGTACCTCAGATCACTGAGCTCACATGTTTACAGGTTCATCTCAGTACATGGGGCAGATAAGAGGGAAGCCAGGTTTCACAGGGGTCAGGTGATTGCAGCTAAGGCAGGAAAAATGTTGAGAATTTGCCTTGGTGAAAAAAAGTTGCAAAAATAGAGCTTGCGCTCTTGATCATTTCTGGGAAGAAGGAGATTCCATGAAAAGGTACCTTTGGTTTGAATAAGGTGCTTTATTCTCTTGGATGCTTGCCCAGTTGATTAGAATGACTGGACAAGAGATGAGGTTCTTTTTCTGCACTACTCTTGTGTTTTAATTTTCTGAGGTCCCATCAGAAAGGCTTAGAGGTGCCATTGGACGTCAACTACATCTTTCCAAGAAAGAGAGGATAATTTTGAGGGGAAAGTCTTTTTATATTTAAAAAAACAAAAAAGGATTGGCACTATAGGAAGTGCATGCGCCAGCCTGTCTGGTAGTCCTTCTGCAGTGCAATTGGTTGCTGTAATCGTAAGACACGAAACGAAAGAGCTGGAAGATGAAATGCATCCCCCTTTATCATCCCCATCTCATATTAGTCACTTACACGTTCACTCTTTCACAGCATCTTGAATGACAATTTAAGCAGGCTTGCCACTGGATTTCACACAATCACACCTTACACTCAAAACTGCAATCATCACTATGTGGGTAGCATAGCGTGGTTAGCTAACCAATGTCAATCACTTGAGTTCTTTGGGGGATAGCATGCCCAAGAAACTCTTAATTTATCTCTGGCGTTGAACCTGGGTACAGTGGTGGCTTTGCTATACCTTGAGGAGCCCTTTTGAATTAAAAAACACTACAGAATGCTGCTAGTGTTCTCTACATTCCTATTTTAATTGTGCTTACCTTAATGTCATTTCTTTTTGAGAGAACTAGAGACCCGAGGCCTTCCTATTTTCTAGTAGAACTATAAATTTGCTCTTGGAAATACCAGTTCAGGTGCATTGCTGATATGGATTCTTTGTTTAGATTTTGTGCTTTATTTGTAGTTTCAAGACACTGCCTGCACATGGATTCATTATAAGTGATTAGTCTGTATAAACATGTTGCCATCTCCCTTCAAGTAGTCCTGTTGCAAAATTCATTCATCTTCCAAAGTCAGCTTGCTATGGGACCACTAATTTCAAAAATCCACTGATGTTAAGTAAACGATATTGGGCTTTTTCTGTGATTAATGTGACTTTAAACTAGCATTTGCACAACACGTTTGCTTCTGAAAGACAAGAGAAATCAGGCCTCTCTTTTTTTTGTTTATCCCAGATCCCCTGAACTCGTTCTATTTATTGAAATTCAGCAACAAACTGTTGAAAAATGGAGCTGTGGTTTCCCATTATTTTTTGTTGTCAAGAAACAAAACAAGGAAGATATTTGAAAGGCTTAATAAGAAAAAATCATGGAGACCCTGTTTGAAATGTCTTAGGAATCCTGATCTTCCCACCCCACATAACACGGTGATAACACTTTTTTCTCCAGCCATTGGCTACCAATAATTAGTTATGGTATGGCCTCAGTCACAAGTGGGTTCATTTCAGCCTTAAACCATACATAAATGGAAGGGTTTTTAGCCCTATTGTCTGGAGAAGGAGATTGAAAGCACATTCATACTAACCTAGAATCCTGCCATTAAGTTTTCCACAAATTACACTGAACAAGCAGCAATGCTAAAGAGCATCCGAAGCTACTCACGTAATATTTATTTGCAGTTTGTCTTTTTTCCCTTGGATTGTGCAGTAACTAACATTCTTAGCATGCAGAGGGTTTAAGTAGTTTTCAATGGGTTCCGTGGGAGTGTTCCTCCTACCTGGAATCATTATTCCCATTTTGAATCCAAACTGCTGCACAGCCTGGGAGAATAGTGCATGCTGCAGATATCCAGTGCACAATTTCTTCCATTTCTGAGCAAGAAAAAAAATATGGATATCTATGCGTGTGTCTACAATAATTGCATTGACGTCCATTTTTATGCAGTTTTTTTTTTTCTTGATGGCTTTTGGAATTGGTCTCTGGTGCCCATTGTGTCTTCAGTTACTGTTCTGCTTCCCTGAGAGAATTCTGGATTTGAGTTATACTATTTACATGTCAGACAAGGGTTTATATGTTTACGTGTGCTGCTCTTAATACAAAATCTGTCTTAAAAATGCAGTGGCCATGGAACTTCATATTTGCCTGGGATAGTTTATAAAAATCTTCCCCTCACAGAGTTCTAATTCTGTTGTCACTGAAATTACTGCTCCAAAATAAATTGACTTTGTTGTGGTAAGTAGCAGGTAGCTTGAGATGGGGAAAATGTACTTCTCTGATATTGCACATGTGTACGTACACGTACACACACACACATTTTCCAGTGGTTCATGTCTGTAGACTCCTTTTACACCAGACTGTCATAGAATTGTACATTATATTATTTATATAGTTTATTTAGACCATTGAGTCCAATTCCTGACAAATGTCTGCTCGGATATTAGATTTCAAGTGAATGGAAACACTACTATTTCGCAAAAACTGTTTTGACTGTTGAATAATTTGAAAATTATTCTAACATTCAGCAGGAATATGGCTTGCTGACAATTGAGACCATTTTTCTGTGCCTTGGTATTTATTCCCTTCTGAGCCGTCTTTTCTCAAGACTGGTTTCCTCCATCTCTCCTGTTGCACTTGATTTCCAGTCCCCGATCATCTTTGTTGCTTCTCTTTCTACTTGTTATAGTCATCTAATTTTTTCTTATAACGGTGATGCTCTGAGGGAAATGGGTGATTAAGAAGTGTGACATAAAATAAATAAAGTGCTAAGAACTGGAGTGGATATAATACTTAAGTGGTTCTGATTAGATCAAAACAGAATGGAACAATTCCTTCCTGTGATTTGGAAAATCACAAGAGCTCAAGAAGGAATATATAAAAACACCCTACTTTGCTTTTCTTCGTAACAGCTCTTGAGAAAAAGCTCTTATCTTTTTTCCTCCTTTGTTTACTGTTCTGTTAGGGCAGTGGTTCCCAAACTTGGCAACTTTAAGACTTGTGGACTTCAACTCCCAGAATTCTCCAGCCAGCNGGTGCCTCGGCTTATATTCGGGCCGGCCTATACTCGAGTATATACGGTATGCTGATTAGAGCATAGTTTTTCTTGGAAAAGCTATGTAGAATTATAGAGATGGATAGAATGGCTTTTGAATTTCCTCATGTTCAACATAATTTTATTTTAAATAAAATTAACTTTTATGTACCAGTGTAACTTAACCAGGTGCCCTGTTCTGTGCCCATTCCCTTATGAAGTTCTAGAAACAGAAACAGCTGCTCCAATGAGTCACACTGCTGTGTTCCTATTTCTACACATTCTAAAAATTTCTTTCAAATAAAATTCAAGGCATTCTATAATTCTGTTGTTTGATTCTTTAGAAACCACACTTCGGAATTGTTAGACTCTGAAAAATAGTATGTTGCTACCTAGCTGTTAGTACTATATTATATGGCCTAATATATGGCTACTTTGGCATTTTGACATCCTTTAAACTATCTCATTATGCAACTGAATATAGAAACTTCATTGTATCATCACCTATTAGCACCAGCTCTTTCTCTCCTTTTCCTTTGCTGTTCTCTGTTTCAGTAGAGTACCAGTTACAAAGAGGTTTAGAAAAGCTGTTGCTTAAACTCGTTGCAATCAGGATTTAGACCTGGACATAGAATTGAAACCATATTTTTCATCTTCAGATCACTTGACTATGCTTGTCTAAACCTTTTGGCAGTATTTGGTACTGTGTGTTACTTACTGGACCACCTGCTTTATTGGTTTATTTATTTATTACATTTATATTCTGCCTCAATCAAATATTGATAGTTGAAGTAACTATATTATGGTGGTTGTGTTCCTTCCTGAGTGGGACGATCCAGTTTATTGTTATAGAATTGGTTCTTGTGCAACCCATCACATGCTGCTTCAGGGCTAATTGTGCCATTTATGCAGTCCGAAATCTAGTTGTGCATCCCTATCTGAGGGTTGCAGCGAAAGCCCTCATCCATCACCTGTTGGCTGTCAGGGCCTGGATGCGGTATAACTGATTCAGATTCAGCCTTGACAAGAAAGAGTGGGTATTCATTTAGAAACCCACCAATTCTGCTATAATACATTGATTGTATCATTTGTGACTCTCAGTGTAATTACTTCCCCATTAGAAGCAGACCTGGACTTGGATGGTCCTCATAGCTCCTGTTAGAACGAAAGCATTTGTCCACCTTTGGTTATTGAACTGAATGTAACCTTACCTAGATAGGACACTGAAGATAGTTCCTCTTATTCTTTCCATCTCCCTTATGGATTATTATAATTTCATTCAGGACTGTTGTCGAACACCATCTGGAAATTTCAGCTGGGCAATCCGAACACTGGCATATAATATCATTGCTGTAGGAAGTGCACAGGCTAATAATATGTTTCCAAATGCATTTCAGTGTGTCAGTCATTATATATAAAGCCCTGTGTACCTTGCATATCTTCAAGACCACTCATCCTATATAGGTCTGCCCGTAAAATCAGAGGGCACGGAATGTGTACAAAAGATCCAAACTATGTACGGTACAGTGACAATTGTCCTCAAAATAAGTATTCACACTCTGGAATAACTTGCCCCCGAGGCAACATAACACTCCAAAAACTTCACTGTTTCAAAAGGCATTTCTGTCCCAACGAACATTTAATCATTTCCACAGTTAATAATAAACTTTTGATTGCAGCCATGTACCATATTGGTTTTGTTGTACACGTTGTATTTTATTGTTGCATTGACTTCAGCTGTTTCTCCTCTTGCTTAGATTTGGTTGACTGAAGCAACCTGTAATTAATGAATACAAATTATTTCATGCATGCTTATTACAGAAGTGGCCGAAGAACTTGGAAGGACCGCATCTTCTTCCTCAATAGTTCCATATTTGCCTCGATTGCCTATACTTCCTTCCAAGACTAGAACCTTAAAAAAGCAAACAGAAAACAAAGAGAACATTGAAGGAGCACAGGAGATCATCGAGCATTCTGCATCCAGTTCTGCTCCAGGTATGTTATTTGAGTGGTCCAGACTCGGGAACTCAGGTTCTGGGAAATAATGTTTGAAAGAAAGGGAAAGAATTCTGAAAAAGTGGATCACAACTAACATTGCTGCACATGATTTCTCATCTTCTCCCCCCCAAAAAATCTTGAAATCTAATGTGAAGGGTGCACCAATCTTCTAGAACAGGTTAAAATATCCATAAGTAATTAAAATCGGATGTTACATTTGTTCTGCTGGTGAATAGACATAAAAAATGGAAACATCCCTCTATATTTATGGTGGAGGAAGCAGAATATCTGGTCAGCTATTTAGATTATATATTAGATCAATTTGAATGCACAAACTCCTAAATTAATCTGACTTCTGTATTAAAAGTAATGTCATAATCATATTCCCCCCCCCTTAATATTTCCCTCCTAAATCCAGTCAATTGTAGATTAACTGCTTTTCTTGCTAAGAATGCAGTAATAAGCATAATAAAACAGAAGAAATTTAAGCAACATAATATAGAGAAATTTACTCATTTGTATAATATGCTAGGGAATATCTGATATATATATCAGATATCCTGGGCTGTATTACATATTAAGCAGATGTGTTAACCACTAAGCCACAAGGTTCTCCTCCTTTATCAGCTGAGCCAGGGAAATAGGTATGTATTTTAGTGTCACAATTTATTTATTTATCAGCACAAATACAACACAAATGTAACAAAGGCACCAGTAAAAATTTTGGGTTTCTGTCGGGGTGGTCTCTGGGGAGGAGCCGATAGACAGAGAAAGGAAGCAGTAGGCTTCCTCCCATATTTGGGCATACCAGGGGTTGTGACACTAAAATACATACCTATTTCCCTGGCTCAGCTGATAAAGGAGGAGAACCTTGTGGCTTAGTGGTTAACACATCTGCTTAATATGTAATACAGCCCAGGTTCGAAAGACAGAGAAAGGAAGCAGTAGGCTTCCTCCCATATTTGGGCATACCAGGGGTTGTGACACTAAATACATACCTATTTCCCTGGCTCAGCTGATAAAGGAGGAGAACCTTGTGGCTTAGTGGTTAACACATCTGCTTAATATGTAATACAGCCCAGGTTCGAATCTGTCTGTCTGTCTGTCTGTCTGTCTGTCTGTCTGTCTG